GGGAAGAGGTTTTGGGGATGTCCAAATTTCCTAGTAAGGTTGGTGTTCTTTAATTTTAATTGCAGATTTCTCTAGTTTAGTGCAGTTTCAGAAGCATAAAGTTTTTTTTCTTAACTTTTGTGTTGTTTAGATTAGAAAGCCTTGCAAGTTTTTCCATTTTTTTCCTAGTGATATGGCGATTAGGGGTAGAGTGAGGGATCTATTACTAAAGTTGAAAGATAAGTAGCTTTGATTTCTTTTTAAGAATGAAAGGCTAAAGAAGGAAAATGTTAATATGATCAAGGAAAATAATGATTTAATGAAGGCAAAGATTGATTTGACAAAGGGAAATGATGATTTGATGAAGGAAAATGTTGGATTATTAGTGGAAAGTGGGAACTTGCTACATGAGAATGGGATCTTAATAGTTGGATCTAAATCACTAGTGAAGAAGATTAAGCATTTGGAGAAGAAAGTGAAAAGAAGTGAGAAGATTTGCATAAGATCACTAAAAGTTTCTATCATTTTGTGTGTGTTTCACATGCTAAGTGTTGTATCTACTATTGGTATGTTTACTGGCCTATAGAGGTCACACTAGAATTTAGGTTATTGTAAGTTTAGAATTGAGCTACATTGGCTTTTGTTTTTGTCTAAACCAAGTGTAATATGGCTCTTTGCTTAAAACCTAATATAATATTAAAGATTTTGTGCTTCAAAATATGTTATAAATGTTGTGTGTGAATGTAGATATATTTGAGAAAATAAGCACTTACATAAAGGCATACCATTCCACAATGCGGTGTTTACATAAATACAGTGTCATATATATATATATATACAAAAGGCAAATTTTGCAATTAAACCCTAAGCATAAAATACAATTATGGATTGCACATTTAAACCAACAACTTAATTAACCAACCATAATTGCTATAAACAAAATATAACCCCACACAAAAAATATGGTACCCTCCTACATATTCAACCTAACAAAATACACAACAATCAGTCTTTATCAATCTCAATTTGATGCATTTGCACCCATGCAGGGTTTCTTGTTTCATTTTTGTGGCTTCTTTTGTTGTTTCCCTTTATCTTTTGGCTTCATTGTATTTGAGGGTGGTTTTTAAGCTACTGAACTAATTAGTACCTGTTCTCGGGGGGTGCTGTGGTTGCTATTGCATGGTCCTTTTTAGTCCTCTTCCTTGATTGTGCATTTTTTGAACTTCCTTTAGACTAAATAATCAATGTGTGTTTGTTAGTATATCTAGCATACCCTAAAGTGCAAAATTGATTAGTTTAGAAGCTTACCACCTCTTGTTTTCTACTTGCTTTTTACTTGCATTTCGTTGGTGTAGGTGTCTCATTAAAAACTTGACCAATAGAATCCTCCACTTGGCTCGTGGCGTTTTCCACATCACCTCCAATGTTTTCATCAACAGCTTGAGGTTGCTCTTCTTGGGGATTTGCTTGATCCTCATTTTGTTTTCGTTACCAATACATACATAGGAAAACATTAATGTATACAACACAGAAAATTGACCATAATTAATAACAAATTTAACTTACAATGTTTGGTAGACCTCTTTTGCATGACCTTGAGTTGTGCCTTGTTTTAAAGCATTTTTTATAGGTCATCAACCTCCCTTTTTGCCAACAAATGTTTTCCCTTCCCTTCCTATTCTTCTAAAACTCATTTCTTCTTAGGCTTACTAGGCATCTTTTTTGGATATGGTGGTTGAACAAGTGACATTTTAGTTTCTTTCCATTGGTTCATTCCTTTTATAACTCGGACTTTATATTCATAACTTGCCATAAACATATGATTCATATGTTTGTGTTACATAGTCCTCATCATTCTCGTCTATAGTTGATCACATTAATTGCATGCCTACAGGGTGTTCCAACCATATTCCAAACTCTACAATTGCATGTCTCTCTCTCTATTTACAATATAAGTTGCCTCCCCATTCTCATCAACCTTATACCCTTCACCACCAGGCCATAAAAGTGTGCATCTCCTGCTACTTTTTCAGGCAACAATAATTTTTGTCAAAATTTTGGGACCAAAATTCCCAACAAATTTGTTGTTACCATATTCCCTTCTAGCCACCATCCTCCTAGCACACAGTGCCTACAATTCTGCCAACATAGAGAATATGACCTTGTGCCCACTTCTAATATTATATCCTTAAAAACCTCACACAAGTTGTTATCAATAACATCACACTTACTATCTTTTTTGAAGAAAGCCTTTAACCAAAACCTAAGGTGTGTTCATGATGGTAAAGATTGCATTTAGTTTAATGCACCTTAACTCAGTTAATGCTTTGTTGAAGTCATGTTCAATGTTAGCCTTAACACATCTCCAAAATGCTACCTTCAATTGTTTGCCTCCATTATTCTTCCAAAAGTTGGCATATTTGTGTCTCTCACATGTTCTATGCTTAGCATTTGGAAATAGATCTTCAACTGCATGAATTAGGCCCCTAGAATCACATGTTACCAATGAGTGCATATAGTTATCAAATAATTTAAACTCCCCAAAATGAACCCTAAACTTTAAAGTTCAAGGACGAATTTGGGCAGAAAGTGAAATATCAATAAACATAATATAACTAGAGATTACACCTTCTGTTGGTCAGAAATAAAGTGAAATGACTCCCTGATCCAATCATCATGTCTTTTTGCAACTCTTTGAGAAACCAAGTCCAGGTCTCTATAGCCTCACCTTTCATAGCTACCCATATAAGTGGATACGTCTAGTTATTTGCATCCCTAGAAACAACAACTAACAATACTCCTTTATATGCCCTTTTAAGGAAGGCACCATCAAAGCCAATAGCATGCCTATAGTCAACTACAAATCCTAACTTCATTGTAGAAAAACCAATTTACATCCTTAAGAAAACAAGATTTAAATTGGTAGTTGGTCTTGATGCCCTAATAATGGTGCAGCAAGGTCTTTCGATCAAAGCTTTATAGCATAATCTTATAACTTGCCATATGCCATCTTGTAATCACCCTTAAATGCCTTCCTAATCTTTTCCTTCACTGTTTTCAATCGATGGTAAGTTAACTCAACACTAAACTCTCCTAATGAAATAAAAATGTCAGTCGGCTTCAAATACAAGGCA